GGGTCCTTCAAGGAGCTGTGCTATCCCCATACTTATTTGCCACTTATATTTGTGACATTCCCTGTGTTTCTCCCGCACGAATTTTGAAATATGCAGATGATGTCGTGTTGTGCCAACCCATTTCTTCCTACTCTGATATAAGTCCTTTCACCGATAATCTTGATCAAATTCAGTCATTCTCCTCCTCATTGGGGCTAACCCTGAACCCCAGTAAATTTGTTGAGCGTTTACATAGTTTTGCTCTCTCTCCATATCCGACAGACCCCACAGTGATTAATAACAATCCTTCATCCAGGGTGAACTCTGTCAAATATCTTGGTGTAACCATAGAGAGCAATCTTCATTGGTCAACCCACATCCACAACTGCATTGGTAAACTGCGACGCCTTTCATTTCAAATACGAAAGCTCAGGCAGTTTCGCGCATCCCAGTCAGTTATTTCTACTTTTGTTTATCAATGTGTTTTCCCCATCTTGCTCTACTGTTCCCCGGTTATTTTTCGTGGTTTACTCAAACAGGACTTCAAAGTCTTACGACGCCGTCTAACCATTATTAGTCGTGTCTCTTCCATTCCTGTGAATGAATCGGCTGTAAAGCTTTCCGAGTATCACGTAACTTCCTGCGTGAAATTTACCGAGAGGATGCTCACAGATCCGGACCACCCATTGCATGCAGAACTGACAGTTTGTCATTCCCATCATTCAACACGCTCCAAATTCCGCCAAATTTCATCCCGAATTAATGCATACCGCAATTCACCCATACCTTATCTTGCTCGTCTACTCATAAACAAAGAGCGAACAATAAGTGAACTTTGTCTTAACCTTGGATTATGAATGTCCCTATGCCTGCGAAAACTTTTCTTCCCGTTGCTTATGTACATTGTGACGGTTAGGGTGTAAGATTTTTTAACTGAAATGTGAGCTTCAGTGCTTGCAAAAGTTATGCACAATACAATACAATACACTACAATACAAAACCTGTCCTGGAGAGACCGAAAACTATCTGGACTAGGGAATGGGTAACCAATCACAATATATTCAGCATATTTCCAAGCAATAAAGTTACTGGGAATGGTGAGATTCTGTATGTGTATAAAGAAAAGAATAGCTCCCTGACTAACACCTGCATCAATATTAATGAAAGACGACTGTATGCCATTAAATGAAGCAAACGAGGATAATAATTCGACTAGAACATTCAAAACTTCAGGTGTCAGACCACACTTCGAAAGACGTGCAATAAGCACTCTTCGGTAGAGCAAATCAAAGGCATTTGTATGTTCAAGAAAAATCGAAATGAGCGTTACTTCCAATCATGTATAAGACAAATACAACAGAGTGATCAATATGGTCAACCACGTCTAGTGCGGACGGATTGATAGGATTGATAGACAAATTGGAAAAAGGATTATGGAAGATCATCAACCGAATGGGCTAATCCAAAAATTCACCGTCCAAATTGATTGAGCCATTCGCACAAGGTGTAGTTCAGGGGTAAGGGTTTGAAGTCCCGACCCGAGGGTTCGCGATTCGAGTCCTAACAGGGACACAAAAAGTACGCATTGCTGATGCGTCACAAATAGGACGAAACAGCTGTCCAGTGCTATTTGTCGGTAATCACAAAGATTCTCATCGCATTTACTTGGATCGTCGAATTTACTTACGGGTAACATGTGGTGCGATAAAACATTTTCAAACGTTTTTAGCAACACATGTGTACCTGCAATTTTGACGATACTTTCTTTGGTATTGGTCTGAACCAGATTGATCTCCGAAAATTGATGATCGTTCCGAATGACAAATACCTACTGAACAATTGACCAATGGGTGCTGCAAGCTGATCGGTACAGGCTTCTAACGAATGAAGTGCTAATCGATCGGGACCATGAGCTTCGTTATCCTTGAGTTTCTTCAAAACTTAGAGAATCTTGTCCGGAGAAACAGGGTTTATTGTATCGTGAGTTGACAAAATAGGTAGGTGGTAGCTCAAGGCAGATACAGAAGTGAATTGGTGATTTGGTACCTCAACGTTGCGACAAAAATTGATGCTTGTGTCACAGAGTTTTCGCAAGGTAGTCCACATCTCATGATAGCTTTTGTTAATCAGAACAGTTTCAACTTGCACATCAAATGATGAAATTCCTACACCTTTTCATGCAAATCAATAAAATCACTCTATTCAATCAATATTATGAAATGTTGCGTAGCTTTTACTGAGATTTAAACTGAACCGAGCTCGAGGCATTTCATTTGTGCTGGACAGTAGGTGGATAACAAAAAGACAAGACACTAGACAGTCGATTCTGCAGAAAAAAGAAAAAAAAATACACATTCACTTTTTCATCACATTCCTAGGTATTTCGCAGACGTATTCGTCTTGCGGATTGGTTTCGTGATCACGATCAACTGAATCACGGCTACATGCCACGAACAACATTTCGACGCAGTTTGGGCACGCTACCATTGGAACTGAATGAGACGGAACTGGCCATGATTGAAGATAGGTAAGTTTGGAATATCAATCATTTTGGCTTCTTTCAAATACTTTTAACCCAAAACGAATTTCGAATTATTTGATAGGATGGTTATCAACGCGTTGACAAAGTTCCCTTGGTAAACCCCATGGGTCCTGTCAGAATCCGGTACAACCATTAACTATGTAGCTTCGTGTGGCGGTCTTGGTTGCTGCTTTTTGACGGCCCATTTGAATAAAATAGCAGAATGAAGATTAGTATGGTGACAGTATAATCAAAGAAAAGATAGAGAATTAATAAACGTTGAGATTGCAAAAATAATGAGTAGATGCATGAGCGCCACTGTTTGCAACATTCAATCATGTCACTCGGTGTGTCTCACTTCTGGGTACCATGCTCTCGGGGTCCCTATCCAGGGTTTTCATACCCCACAGTCAGATTTTAATTTGACCACCCTTGATATTTGTCCATCCGCTGCTTGCATTGGTAATCAACGCGTGCCGTGGAGGTCTATTTAGTGACATGCGCAACACATGTCCCAACCAACGTAGTCTATGAAAGTCAACCACGTGTTCCAGTGGATGACCAAGAGTATCTAAACCTCCACGCCTTAATTAAGCATTGCTTGTTCGATTTCCCCATCAGACTCGTAGTGCTGCGTATACAGTGGTTTTCGAACATCGACAGCCTATTTTTATCCTGTTCCCGTAATAGCCAAATCTGCACCACAGAACAGGACTGGCCAAACGGCTGCCGCATACATACTTGACCCTTTACGGACTGTCGGATGTCACGACGGTACCACAGATATCTTAGGTTTATCGATCTGGAGCTTGTGAAGAATGCCCATTGTTTATCCCTTTTGGATCAATATTACAGTAATACTTAGTGCTGCGTCGTCTGTCAAGCTGTCTTCATACCTGAGCTATCGCCTCTAACCTCCCAAATATACTAGCACGCTTAAAATATCACTAATTGATAAGACCTAATTCCAATCACAACAGGAATGCACAGTATTCTTATGGGCCTGTATACATATATTTACCACCGGCTTAAAAACAAGCATGGCGCCAACGCAACAACAATGACAGTGAAGGGGATGGGTGGATTAGGATACAGAACATGGGGAAAAGTGAGTGAGACAGTTAAACATGGAAAATTCAAGATAACAGAATTTTTTTGTGTGTTTCACCGTACACCTTTTGCAAATTTTTTGTTGTTTGATGTTTCGTTTTTCTTAAGGGGCACGGGATTTCGATAGACAGATCGTACAGCATTC